GCAAATGACAGTTCCTGAACACATTCCTTAAAATTGAAATATTGTAAAGAGATCAGAGGAGAACAGAAGTTATTAAAAGCTTGTAGCACAAATTGAAAGTGATAGAATAGTTTACTATAGACATTTAAAAGATTACTCAAATTGGTGATAAATACCCTAGCCATATCCTCAGTGAAGACTAAAAGGACGATTGCTTTTATCCAGCAACAAAAATTCAAGTATTTCAGTATTACGATTTATTTTTCGGAAACAAAGCAGTTCGATCAACTATAACCTTAATAAGTTAACCCCTTTGGCATATCATTAAACAAACTCTAAACTGTGCGGAATTATTAATTTCTTGATATAGAAATGATCTTTGATTGCACTGTAAACAACAACTCGTAACGGAATGTTGAGTTGAAGACGTCTGAGACACGTCAATTATTGTTTTGACTTAAGAAACAAATGACGTCTCCCAGACGTCCTCATATGTGTCAAAGGGTTAATAATATTTACACTTGAATCTGAACACTCAATGCTTTTTTTTAATGTTAGGAAGTAACAGAAAAAAAATCCACTTGGTATAAATAAATATGAATTTCTCTAACTACTTAAAAAGAACTCGATTACAAATTATAAAAGTTCATTCTGGATTTAGAAGTGTTGTTGTTTACATTCTGAGATTATAATGTCGCATGAAAGGAAGATTTTTTTGCAAACTATATTCTATTTTCATAACTGCTGTGAGTTTGCAACGGTTACTCGCGACTGCTAGGTCATGTTCAGCCTATCTTTACCCTATCTTTGTTTATTGTGAAAATGGAGCAAAACGTCAATATAACGAAAAGCCGTTTTTGGTCTAATTTTTTAATATTTAAAAGCTTCCTCCAATGCTGAATTATCTGGGCTGGTAAAATTTTGCAAAACAAAACTGTGACTTTCTTATTTTCTTTAGCAAAATATCATCCAAAAACTATAGTAACACCATCCCTAACAATTAGTGAAGTCTTTGAGATCTAGAACTGTTTATCCTAATTAGAATAAGAGTCAGAATTAAAACTATTACGCCTCTCTCTTTATTATAGTTTAAAATAAATTAATATTTCATACTATCATTGCATTCTAAAAAAGGCTAATACACTTTTAAAATAACAATTATCATTTAACAGTACGACTAGCAATCAAATTTTTTTCATCATCAGACATCCAGGCAGCAAAAACATCTCTGTCTGCCTGGACAATCTTGACATCGTTAGGAATAACAACTGTTGTTGAACAAGTCGAAGAGTCTGATATAATAGGTTTTTTCAGCGGTGAGGAACTTTCAGTCTGTGTGCCTGAATTCAGTTTTTCAGGAGGTTTGGAGCCTCCTCTTAAATTCCGATTCTGCGCTGTCTCCATGTACAGTTTAATGGTGTTGATTGTTGCAATGTCCAACTTCGGAAAGTGGCTACTAGTGTTAGCGTCGTACTCATAACGAATGTTGTGCTCAACTAAATCTGCACCAGCTTTTTCTTCTTCGGGTGTCATTCTTATTGGGACGAATTTATTGATGACCTGAAATCAAAAATAATTATTTTTGTACTAAAATCATTCGTAGATTCTTTATAGTTAAATGGATTAATACCATTCCGGAGTATGAGCAAATACTTTAATATGACTTTTTTATAAATATATTATAAAAACTACAGATAATCAAACACTTATGAGAATTTATTAAGACACAATCTTAATGGTTCGAGAGGAGGACCTCAAATAGGCTAATTAATTAGTGCAGACACAAAAACGTACTTTCTCTGAATAATCAAACTTTTTTCCCGCAACGGATAGGGATGTATGGCTCTCAAAATATGGTCCCCATAATTTAGTCAGGTGAGCGATGTCAAGTTTGGAATCCTTAACACTAGGTTTACGGACGTTTCTTAAATACATATCTTTACGAACAAGCGTCAATTTGACGCATGAACGAATACATATAACAGCATACCTGCCAACTTTCACTCTTTCCGAAAATTGATTTTCAGAGTGGTTGTAAAACAATAAACGAAAAACAATCAGGCTCAAAAATATATTTATATTTTGATCCCGATGAAATTCGCTTGCGCAAGGATTATTACATATCTGCCAACTCTTCCGGATTTTCCGGAAGATTTTATTTTCATATTTAAAGTGGTAGTAAATATATACTATTTTTCTTTTATAAACTTAATTTTTAAATGATTTTGATCACCACTATTCTTCCAAAAATGAAGCACATATATTCATATGCGGTACTATCATGGTTGTCAACTTAAGTTTTTTCAAATGCAACGTATTTGTTTGCTTAAAATTGAAGTTTTAATTCCATTTTAATACCACTGGGAAAAATGATAATGGAAGGGATTAAAAGTTGGCAGGTATGTTATTATGCTTTCATATATTTATTGTAATTATTTATATATAGTGGTGGTCAAACTCATTTATGATTATCATTATAATTCAAAAAGTTAATTGGAATAAGCTGAGTAATGCTACCACTTTAAATATGGAAATAAAATCTTCCGGAAAATCCGGAAGAGTTGGCAGGTATGTAACAGCACTTACAGAGATGGCAACTTGCTCCAGACAGCAAATATATATTTTCAAGTGGTAGTTTATTAATTGTGATTCTTGGCTTAATAAATTCANCATCTGCGTAGAAGGCTGCACAATTGATAAACTACCACTTTAAAATATATATTTGGTGTCGGGAACAAGTTGGCATCTGTGCTTCACAGAAAGCAATGAACACATACATGAAAGCTTCTCCCAATTTCTCAGGAAATTCTTTTTTTTTATTGATTGCTTTTTTGCGTGTATATAGTGATAGTAAATTTCATATTTTATCATTTTCTTAGTGATTTAATTAATTTGATTTTGCTCACTACTATATACAAGAGACTTAAATATAATAATACTTGATACTCGTGCAGTGAATTACTTAAAAGGTGGATAAAATCAAGTTAAATTTGAAATATTATTTCTAAACCTTCTAAGTATTGTGGGAAAACGTTATTTCCAAGTTGACATCCATGTAAATCGCAACATTTGTTATCACAATGGTTCCGAATTCGAATTAGGACTCTGATTGTTTTACTCATCTGTGCCTAGTGCCTTTTCAACTCGTATATTGATATACTATAATGTGTTTAGCACAACTGCCAATTTGTACGGCCCTTAAAGAATAATTTGCTTGTCACCAGTATTAGCGTTTTGGCGTATTAAATCTTTCAGTTTAAATTTTCAAAAAAATTTTTTAATCTTCTACAGTGAATCTATAATTTAAAAGAAAAATATGCTGAAAAGATCCATTTGTTGGCTAAATGTTTGTAGATGTCCTAATTGTTTTGTTTATAGAAAGTTCTTCCAAACTTAACTGTTGGTTTACTCCCACTTTGCAAAAGCTTTTTCAACGACCGTACAAATTGGCAGGTATGTGTTTATTCTTGAGTTTGAATGAAATTCATTTTGATTTTTAGACAAAATTAAATTGAATTTTAACTTTATTTTTTTTGGTGAGTATATTTCCCACCACCCGATAAAGGCTATTAAAAAAGTAAATTTAATAATTTTGAATCCATAATTAACATTTTAATAATTTTCAGTTTTAGGATTTATTTTTCGGAAACAAAGCAGTTCGATCAAAAATAACCTTAATAAGTTAACAATATTTGTACTTGAGTCTGAACAGCCAATGCTTTGTTTTAATGTTAGGAAGTAACAGAAAAAAATACACTTGGAATAAATAAATATGAATTTCTCTAACTACTTAAACAGAACTCGATTACGAACTCTAAAAGTTCATTTTGGATTAAGAAGCGTGTTGTTGTTTATACTCTGAGAGTATGATGTCGCATGAAATGAAGTGTTTTTTGCAAACTATATGCTATTTTCATAACTGCTGTGAGTTTGCAACAGTTACTCGCGATTGCTAGGTCATGTTCAGCCTATCTTTACCCTATCTTTGTTTATTCTGAAATTTGAGCAAAACGTCAATATAGCGGAAAGACGTTTGTGGTCTAATTTTTAAATATTTAAAAACTACAATGCATTATCTGGGCTCGTAAAATTTTGCAAAAAAACTGTGACTTTTTTATTTTTTGGCAACAGAGCATCCAAAAACCACAGTAGCACCATCCCTAACAAGAAGTGAAGTCTTTGAGATCTGTAGTATTATTCAAACACCAATCCACTTGCAACATCTGCTCATGGACGAACTACATTTTACGTAAATCCCTCACTAAGCACTTGTTCACACGTGTTTTTAAGAGTGGATTTTGTAAAACTCCCTTATGTCAACCCTATACAGGTCCACATAGGATTTTGAAACTGTCAGCTAAAAACCTTACAATTCAACTAAAAGGAAGGCAATCTACTGTGTCCATAGACCGTGTAAAGCCAGCATATTTGATTCCTACTACAGAGAAGGTTGAATCAAACTTACGGGTTGTAAAATCTGGAATTTCCAAATTCTTACGCACAGAAAAAAATCATTCTCCCTAGAAACCCGACAAAATTGCGACTAGATCTGGAAGACATGTACACTTTCCAGCAAAACTGGCAACTTATGCTTGTTATTAACATTATTAACTAAGCAAGGTTGTTTAGTATAAAATAATATTTATCAATGATGTAAATAGTGTAATATTCAAAATTTTATGTGAAATATTATGTCGTTTCAGAGTATAATACTCTGTCACTGGGGGGGGATAATCTGTAGTATTATTCTTAATCGATAATGAATCGATTAGGCAAGATGATTATAAATTATTTTTTATATGTTGGATGACCAAATTCTGAATGAAAAAATAAAACTGCTATGGTGAATAAATATTTGCTAACCTTCTGAATAAGTCTCTCTTGTATTAAGGTGATAAAACAACACTTCAGATCTAGAAAGTGACTGTTTATCTTAATTAGAATAAAAGTCAGAATTAAAACTATTATGTCTCTCTCTTTATTATAGTTTAAAATAAATTAATATTACATACTATCATTGCATTCTAAAAAAGGCTAATACACTTTTAAAATAACAATTATCATTTAACAGTACGACTAGCAATCAAATTTTTTTCATCATCAGACATCCAGGCAGCAAAAACATCTCTGTCTGCCTGGACAATCTTGACATCGTTAGGAATAACAACTGTTGTTGAACAAGTCGAAGAGTCTGATATAATAGGTTTTTTCAGGGGTGAGGAACTTTCAGTCTGTGTTCCTGAATTCAGTTTTTCAGGAGGTTTGGCGCCTCCTCTTAAATTCCGATTCTGTGCTGTCTCCATGTACAGTTTAATGGTGTTGATAGTTGCAATGTCCAACTTCGGAAAGTGGCTACTAGTGTTAGCGTCGTACTCATAACGAATGTTGTGCTCAACTAAATCTGCACCAGCTTTTTCTTCTTCGGGTGTCATTCTTATTGGGACGAATTTATTGATGACCTGAAATCAAAAATAATTATTTTTGTACTAAAATCATTCGTAGATTCTTTATAGTTAAATGGATTAATACCATTCCGGAGTATGAGCAAATACTTTAATATGACTTTTTATAAATATATTATAAAAACTGCAGATAATCAAACACTTATGAGAATTTATTAAGACACAATCTTAATGGTTCGAGAGGATGACCTCAAATAGGCTAATTAATTAGTGCAGACACAAAAACGTACTTTCTCTGAATAATCAAACTTTTTTCCCGCAACGGATAGGGATGTATGGCTCTCAAAATATGGTCCCCATAATTTAGTCAGGTGAGCGATGTCAAGTTTGGAATCCTTAACACTAGGTTTACGGACGTTTCTTAAATACATATCTTTACGAACAAGCGTCAATTTGACGCCTGAACGAATACATATAACAGCATACCTGCCAACTTTCACTCTTTCCGAAAATTGATTTTCAGAGTGGTTGTAAAACAATAAACGAAAAACAATCAGGCTCAAAAATATATGCATATTCAAAATAACTAATA